CTGCGGCGATAATTGTGGGGACAGCCGTCGCTTTTGTTCAGGCCAGCAAGGCCCAGAGCCCTGGCCCGAGTCCCTGCCACCCGACTTACCACCCAGGTGACCCCGAGCAAGTGACTGCACCCGTGAGCCCCTGAGACTCACTGCCCCTCTGCCGGGTCCTGGCGACCGATGCCCTCAGGTGACGCACTCACAGCGCCAAGCACACGCTGTCTGCCACCGAGCTCTCTGTGGCCACGTAGCGTATTATCCCCAAATGCCATGGCTCAAAACGATGGCAGGCGCTTGCACAACGTTGCTACGGCGGCGCCATAACCAAGCGTCATGCGCTGGACAGCGGGCACAGCAGGAACTTACTCGCTCGTGGGGCCGGAGGCTCCGGGATCAAGGTGTGGGCCGGACTCGCTGCTCCCGCGGCTTTCAGGTGGCTCTTCCCTCCTCCCTGCCCTCCGACGGTCGTCCCTCCATGCGTGTCTGTGTCCTCCTCTCTTCTTACAAGGACCCCCGTCAGAGCGCACCAGGGCCCACCTTCGTGGCCTCATTTCACCCCAGTGGCCTCTTTAAAGGCCCCGTCTCCAAACACTGTCATATTCTGAGGTCCCAGGGCTCAGAGCTTCAACACACGATTTTTTTTTTTTTTTTGAGACAAGAGTCTCACTCTGTTGCCCGGGCTAGGGTGCCCTGGTGTCGGCCTAACTCACAGCAACCTCCTGGGCTCAAACAATCCTGCCTCAGCCTCCCGAGGAGCCGGGACTACAGGCATGCACCACCATGCCCAGCTAATTTTTTTTTAAATATGTATTTTTTTAGTTGTCCAGTTAATTTCTTTCTATTTTCAGTAGAGACAGGGTCTTGCTCAGGCTGGTTTCGAACTCCTGGCCTTGAGCGATCCTCCCGCCTGGGCCTCCCAGAGTGCTAGGATCACAGGCTTGAGCCACTGCGCCCTGCCCAACATACGATTTTGAGGGAACAGGATTCAGCCCCTGACAACACTGTCTCTCTCCTGGTTCTGCAGGTCGGGAACTAGGGCAGGGCCCAGTGGACGGGTCTGGCTCGGGGTCTCTCACGCGGCTGCAGAACCGACCGGGCACAGGGCAAAGGCCTGGCAGGAGCTGCGCAGTCTGTTTCCAAGTTGGCGCTGGCCGCTGGCGGCAGCCTCCCCGTGGCTGCTTGAGCACACTCACAGCATGGCGGCTTTTCCCGAGCGTCCAAGACAGGAAGACAGAAGCTGCGATGCCTTTTGTAGCCCAGCCTCAGGAGTCACAGCGGCCGCCCTGTCTGGGCAGGAGGGAATGGTTGTGGGCCACTCGGGGGATGGCTGCACAACAGCTAGCGGTAGCTGAGCACTCTTCTGTGGGCTTCACATAGGCCAGCCAAGCTAGTCCCACAGCAACCCTGGGAGGTCTGTGTCACCTGTCCCCATTTTACAGACGAGGAAACCGAGGTCCCGAGAGGCTGAGACATTGCCCGTGGCTAAGAAGAGGCGGAGCCAGGAGCCAAACTGGGGAGGCCGGGTCTGGAGCACCCACTCTCGGCCACTCCTCCGCTCAGACCTCCATAAATACCGCCTGTCATTTCTGTGGCCACCTCTGGGCACCACCTGACCATCCCCAAGGAGAAGGGCATCCTGTCCAGGTTCACAGGGGTCGAGGAGCAAGCAGGGCAGAGGAGGAGATGCTGGGGTCCTTTGGCAGGGCACCCACATGCGCTGGGACTCTGTAGCCAGGGACCAGCGGAGAAGTGGCCCCCGTAAGACAGCTCGGCACCATGGCTTAGCGTGTCAGAGCGGCGGCTGGTACCTGCGCTGAGTGCTGGGTGGTTTTAAGGATGTCAAACTGCATGTTGCTCCACAATAGCCATCTGGGCACATAACGGACCACCCCAAACTTGGTGGCATAAAACAGCAGCCATATTGTCATGCCCAGAGACGGGGAAGGCCACACTGGGCTTCTCTGCCCCACTGTCTGGGGCTCAGCTGGGAGAGTGGGGTGTGGGGTGGCAGGGCGCAGGTCACCCGGGAAGCTGCACACACAGCTGAGCTACCATTGGGCCTGGGTGACCAGGGCCTGGCTGGGGGGATGTCTTACCAAGGTGTGGGATCGTCAACTGCGGACAAGGTCCCAGAGTGGTAGAAGGGCCTGCCCGGGGCTGGACCGTGCAGGCAATTCAGGAAGCAGAACCCACAGGTCCTGTCCTACCTGTGACCTAAGGACTGGCCAGTGAGCATCGCCCTTTACTTCTCGAGTTAGAGCTACATCGCTTCACACAGATGCTACAAGCGCGCCTCTAGCCTCGTGTTGCGTAAAAACTAAATATCTCGTCTGGAACTGTACATTTATATCACACAGACCGCTATTTCGAGAGAAGTACGCGTGAGAGCTCTTTTCCTACCATCTATACACAAGCGACCCACAACACACACTTCCCTTCTCCCACTCCCACCCAGAAAGACAATCTATCCTATCTAAAGTACATCTCTATCATCCTGGCTTGGACACTAGGCACACTGAACCTGATTTTGTGACCTGCTTCTGACTCAGCGCGGGGGGGGGGGGGCAGGGGGAGTGTCTTCTCGACGCAGGGGGGTTCACCTGGCCTGAAGCAGTGTGGGCTTCAGGGCCTCTCCCAAAGGCCTGCACCAAATTTTGTTATTTGTAATTTTGTATTCTTCTCTTAAGGATGGTCTCTCGAACCGTGGAAGTCTGAGGCCCCGCAAAACCTGCATGACATTCTAGGGCCTGGATGCAACCAGTGACAGCCACGGTCAGAACCTTTACTGTGACGGCCACCATACCCAAACAATCCCCTCCGCTTTCAGCCTCGGGTTAAGCTGACCCACTTGGAGGCATTCTCTGGCCAGTGGTCCTGGGACCTCAGCCTGTCTGAAGCCCACACCTGTGGCACAGCACCTGCTACCCTATCCTGTCATTTGCTCCTCAGCTTGTCCCTGTCACGAGGTGGCAGGCACCTCAAGTGAGGACTCCGTTTATCCGTGCCCTTGGTACCCAGACCAGAGTAGCGGTGTGGGGGGTCCCTGATCCTCCAGTGAGTGTCTACACAGCACACGGCAGGTTGCAGGCAGCATAAACGCAAACTGAAAGCAAGGCTGGGGGCCCGCAGGGACTCGGAAACCCACAGTGAGGGGGGCCACTGGCTCTGCTCCTCCAACGGCATCAGCCACCTGGGGCACCAGGTGTGAAGCCGTGGCACGTGGACACGAGACAGCCCTCATCAGCATGCAAGAAGCCCTGAGTGACAGGCGACCACCTGGCTTACCTGCTGCCCTCATCCTGGCCATGGGTGGGTACCATGTCCCAGTGCCCAGACCTTACCAGGTGCCGCACAGGAGGAAAGAGCCCTCTTGGGTTGGCTTGGCTCTAGTGCCCCTGAGGACAGACAAAAGACGAGGCCAGCCAGGAAGATGCTTTTACTATCTCAGTGTTCAAACCCATGGATCTCACAGCCTGGGCGGTGGACAGGTGACCCACGATGGATACCCAGGACGGAAGGACGCTTGTTTCTCTCGGAAGACTTGCTGCTAGCCACCAAGTGGTGGCCAGCAAAAGAGAAAGGCTCTTGGCGCTGTACCACTTACTGATGGACTATGCTGGTCCAGATTCTCCTTGGATTCTAGCTCAGGCCAGGACAGAGGTGGCTCTGGTCCTGTGGGTGGGGTGTGGTCTCATCACCAATGCAACCAAGGCCACAGGCCCCAGCCCCAGTCCAACAGCAAGCGTGCAGAATCCAGAGCCGCCTGTATCCAATGACTGGGCCGGGTGCGCGGGGGTTCCAGCCCCCTGGTTCCAGTTCCCGACACGTCTGAATGGCCACCCACTTTCTGAATCCCCGTGAGCAGGGTTGCCTGATCCCGCCTTCCCCTCCCACCCACCAGCCACCCCAGTAAACTCCGTGCTGGAAACCCCACCTGTTGCGTCTGCCAGCGGACAGGGACTGGGCAGGACCGTATGCAGGGCGGGTCCCTCCACAGTGGGATGCCCAGCCTCACCCTTCCTTCGCTGGAGGCTTCCTGGAACTCGGGGTTGCTGCCATGCCCTGCTCCGGGGCTGTCCCCTCCGCTGCGGCCCACGGGTGACACCCAGACAAACCCACCACCTCCTGCCCCGCCTGCACCGAGGCCCGGGGTCGACGAGCCCCGCCCCGACTCCCACGCTGGGGGCTGCCCCCACCCGCCCCGCCGCCCCTCCTAGCTCTGCTGACCCGGGAGGTCGCCCCCATTTCCGCCGCCGCCGTCTCCTCCCAGTCCCGAGCGCGAGGCGAACAGGTCGAGGCCCCACCCCCGGAGCCAGAGGAAGACTCGCGGCCAGGCCCCGCCCACGAGGCGCGCCTGCGCACTGCGCACTGCCTGCCGCGCGTGCGCAGATGAGACCCCTGGGGACGAGCGCGCAGGGCCACTATCTGCGCCTGCGCCAGGGCCAGCCGCGGCGCCGGCGGCGTACAGGGAGGAGGCGTTGCGGGCCGCTAGCAGCCCACGCACGCGCGCGCGCACGCACGCCCTCGGGAAGCGTCGATTCCGGGGCGCTGGGAGCGGGCCCACGGAAGGAGGAGAGCTGCATCGCGGTGCGCGGCCGGTGGAGGCCCGTCCTACGGTGGCCGCCGAGGACCGGCCGCTACGCCGCCCACGGCTGGCCAAACGCCGTCGCCAGCCGGCGCCCGGCGCGCCTTCCCCCGGCCCTGGGCGCCCGAGCGGCGGTTGAGCCGCGCCCCGCAGCCCGCCCGCCGGCCGCCCTGCCCCGCGGCCTCTCGGCACATGGCGCGCCCCTGCGCCCGGAGCCCGGCCGACGGACAGCGGCGGAGCCGCGGGGCCCGGCCCGGCCCGGCTTTTTTTTCCGCCGGCCTGCCCCACGTGCGGGCCGCCCGCGGCCCGCCGCGGAAGAAGGCAGCGGGTGAGCGGCGGGCGGGGCCGTCTCCACGGCGACGCGGGCGCGGGACCCGGAAGTGGCGCCCGGCGGGGCAGGCTCCGGGCGGCTGGGAGGCCCCGCCGGCGCGGGTCTGCGGAGGACCGGGGCGGGCAGCGAGTCCGACGCCGCCGAGTCTGCAGAGCCGCTGGGCCGGGCGCTGTCCGAGCGGGCGGGAGCGAGCGGGGCGCGGAGGCGCGGGCCCCAGTCCTGTTACCAACTTTCCCGCGCCGGCCGGTTTTGTTAATATGCATCCCCGACTTTGAGTGCATTCCCACCCACGGCCACCTGGGCCGGCTGTAAATGGCCTTAGTGGGTGGAACTAGGGGACCCCTTGCCGGTTCTCTCTTCGCTGCAGCCCGGCCTGTAGGGCCTGCCACCCCCGGGCGCCCCTGCGCAGCACGGTCTGCACGGCTCCCCGCTGGACGGAGGGAGCAGTCTTGGGGTTCGGTGGCCTGCCCAAGGTCATTCCCAGGGAATGACGACGCCAGGGTTCAGGCCCCGCATGTGATGTCCAGACCCGCCCCTCCCCCCCACCCCTCCATATGGTCCCTCTGGCACTTGGCTTGTCACTTGGCTTGGTTTGTCAGGTTGGAAAGTCATCTGTTCCTCCTGGCACCTTCTGAGTTCACCTGTGGACACCCCAGTCCGCCATCCCCATCCTCTTGTGTGGCTCCTTGCTGGTGCCATTGAAGGGCTTTGCTGATCCCTGGGTTAAGCGGCCACAGAAGCTGGGCAGCGATGGCTGCTGAAGGAGGGAGGGTCGGCCAGTGGGTGGGAGCTGTGGGGAGGAGCTGTCAGCCAGGTCTCTCTGGCCCTTCAGGGTGGGCTTGGGCGTTGACCCCTCCAGGCAGGCCCCCCACCCCACTGCTGTGGGCAGAACTGGCACTTTGGGTTTTCGAGGTTTGTGGGTCTCATGGAAGTATCCTGGGGAGGGTTTGTGAAGCACAAGCCCCAGGTGCCCACCTAGATCCCAGTCCTGGACTCAGTGATCCTGGGCCCCCAGGGCTGGCATTTGTGCCCACCAACGCTGGCGGATTTCCGGGGGAGGAACGCCCTCTCGGAGCGGTCAGAGTGACCCAGCCTTTGTCCTCTCTCTGCAGGCCGACACTACCCCCAGGGCTCAGCTGTGGGCTCCCAGGCCTAGGCGCCCATGACCCGTAAGCTGCCCGCCGCCTGGACCCTGCCGCCACAAGCTCGCGCCGCCGCCGGGACCAATGCCGGTCATGCCCATCCCCCGGCGGGTGCGCTCCTTCCACGGCCCGCACACCACCTGCCTGCACGCGGCCTGCGGGCCCGTGCGCACCTCCCACCTGGCCCGCACCAAGTACAACAACTTCGACGTCTACGTTAAGACGCGCTGGCTCTACGGCTTCATCCGCTTCCTGCTCTACTTCAGCTGCAGCCTCTTCACGGCGGCGCTCTGGGGCGCGCTGGCCGCCCTCTTCTGCCTGCAGTACCTGGGCGTGCGCGTCCTGCTGCGCTTCCAGCTGAAGCTGTCGGTGCTGCTGCTGCTGCTGGGCCGCCGGCGCGTGGACTTCCGCCTGATGAACGAGCTGCTCATCTACGGCATCCACGTGACCATGCTGCTGGTCGGGGGCCTGGGCTGGTGCTTCATGGTCTTCGTGGACATGTGAGGGCGCCGCGTGGCCCTCCACCGTGGCCCACGAGCCGAGCCGCCCTGCGGCCATGTTCCGTCCTGGGCGGGGTGGTCAGGGCTCTTTTCCCGTCTGCCCTGCCCAGCACCCAGGCGAGGGCTGCAGCACAGGAGTGAGGCGGTGCTGCCCCGCCTCCCACGCAGGGGAAAAGGGCTGAGACTCTTCCGTGATGGGAACACTGGCACCTTCCTCGGGCTGGCTTTCCACGCCGACCCTCCCTGTGTGCACGTCCGGGGCAGTGTCCCCTGTGGCCGCCCGCCGGTGGCTGCTGCTTGCACTTTTCCAGGTTGTACTGGAGGGTGGCCGGTCTGTCCTATCTGCCTCCATGTGGCCCCCCCACCCCCGTCCCCCCTACAGGACCACGTCTGGTGGTGACTTTGGGCGTCACCAGCGGCTCGGGAGACCCATGGATACAGTGGGGTCTGCCAGTCAGAAGCAAATCTGGAGGGGCACCCTCATGGCCACACAGCCCCCTTCCTTCGCACCTCTGGTCCCCGCCTCAGCCTCAGGAAGGAGGCGGGCTTCACTAGCTGCTGCACCACACTGCCACTAAGCTGTCCACTCTGCCCTGGGCTACCTGAGTCCTGGCAGGGCCCAAAGACCACCCTCCTCTCTCACCCTGAGGTGGGTCCTGGGTCACCTTGGTTTGCTTGGATGCAGTTTATCGGGAGCCACAGAGGGGCTCAGTCTGGAGGAGACCTCGGCAGGTTCCTGGCTCAGGGCCGGCTCCAGGGCAGGCAGCGGCAGATCTGTGTTCGTGCCTGGCAGGGCTGTTGAGAATGTTAGCGAATGCTGTAGATCCCTTCCAATGTGGATTTCTAGGGAGGCAATTCCATTCCCTTCTGGCTTTGGGGGAACGGGGCTGGGCTCTCTGTTCAAGAGGACACCCAGGATGGAGACGCTTGTCTCTGGTGTCTGGATCAGATGGCAGAGGCCTCCCCGCGGCTCCTCGCGGCCCTGAGTGTGCACCCCGGTCACAGGGGCTGGGCTCCCCACTGCGTGTCCGGTGCTGGTGAAGGGCGCAGCTGCCCCTCTGCCCTGAGTGGCTCGGTCAAGGCATCTGGGATGTAAAAAGCCAAAATGACCCCGTGGCAGGGGCTGGTGGGCCGGGGAGAGGCACAGGGACGGAGTTCAGGGTGGGCTTCCACCTCAAGAAGGACACACCTGGGGCCCAGGGGCTCCCCAGCCCCCGGGTCTGACCCTGTCTGTTGAGGGGCTGGCAGTCGCTGCAGGCAGAGACAGGCAGCACGGGAGCAGGCACGGGGGGCGACACTCGATTCACCCCAAATTGTTGCCCCTCTCCCCCCAGGCATGGGTGGTGGCCCCTTTGACCCTGCCCTGCCAGGCAGACCAGCGGCCCTGGGGCGGTCAGGACTGTGTACCGCTGGAAGAGACACTTAGGAAAACCCAAATCAGGTAGAGAAAGCAAAAAATACTTGGCTGCAAATCTCGCTGTGTGGTTTGCAGCCAGCTTGTGTTCGCTGGTCTTCCGACTCGAGGTCAGCGGACGGCCCGGCGGGGCAGCTGCCCGGGTCCCCGCGGGCGGGCGGGTGCGAGGAGCTCAGCCGAGCGGATCCCTTCTTGCTGCAGAGAATCGTTTGCACTAAATCATGCTGTTTCCTCAAAGAAGCTTTTCGTTGATTAACGCGTTACTCAGAACCACCTCGCCCCGAGGGTGCAGGTGGGTGGGTGTCCACGGGGTGGGGTGGCGGGGGCCTGGCTGTGCCGCCCGGGCCGCGGGCGCACGGCGCAGGGAGTCACGGCCCCTTGTTCCACGCTGCTTCGTGTCCCGGTGCCTGTGAAATTCTTACTGAGGTGAAGCACCTGCATTAAACCTATTTTCTTAACGTGTTGACGGAGTGACTGTTTAAAGCGTGACATTTTTATTCCTCTCTTTTTTAAGGCTACGATAATCAAAAGCACCCTAGAAACCATCTTCTCCTATAAAAGAGAGAGGGTTTGCGAAAGCATTCGCTTTTGGTGACGGGAAGGAACCCTGAGGCCAGTGTTCTGCGGTGGGAATTTGTCAGGGGGGAGGGTCACCCGGTCACCGGGATGCAGCTGCATTCAGCTGGTCGGGTGGTGTAGAGTCGTCAGACAAAGATGGGGACGTGTGTCTGCCACGCTGTGGGAGGAAAGTGGGATTGGGGACGGTAAATACAGGTGCTCTCAGTTTCGGGGGAGAAGGCGTGGCATAGAAAAAAGTCGGGAGGATAAAGAAACCAGCACTGCAGGTGTTTTGTTTTTGTTTGTTTTGTTTTGAGACAGAGTCTCAGCTCTGTCACCCGGGCTGGAGTGCAGTGATGTCATCGTAGCTCACCACTGCAGCCTCCGTCTCCTGGGCTCAAGCGATCCTCCTGCCTCAGCCTCCCGAGTAGCTGGGACTACAGGCATGTGCCACCACCACATTTGGATAATTTTTCTATTTTTTTGTAGAGACAGGGCCTCTCGCTCTTGCTCAGGCTGTTCTCCAAGTCCTGAGCTCAAGTGGTCCTCCTGCCTCGGCCTCCCAGGGTGCTGGGGTACAGGCGTGAGCCACCTCGACCGCCCCAAAGCTGCAGTTCTTGCTCAGCCAAAAAGCAGTTTGAAAAAGGAGCGGCTTTATTATCTAGAATCTTTATTTTGTAAAGGCTTCCTTAGCTTCTGTGAATTAAAACGTTGCATTTCTCATTTTTTTTCTTTCCTTGCAAAGACGTCTCCCAATGTGATGAGGATGGTGGCGACTTTCCCCCAAGCAGCCGTTAGTGTCCAGGAAAACTGTGGGCTCAGCCACATAGCAGCCCTCCGTTGTTTGTGGGATTTCGTGGAACTAGGCGTTTCACAAAACTAAACTTCTGGGGTTTGTTTTTTGATGGCCGAGAGTTTGTGAAATCTTTGCACAAGCCTCTGTCCCTGACAGCGGCGTGGGCGCGTAGGCGGGCGAGTTTGCCTCACCAAACGGGGCTGAGGCCTCGCTCGGAGCCTTGCATCCCATTCGGGGCTTCCGACCTGAGGGCGGGTGGTGGGCCGGGCCTCTTCGCGTGTGGCAGAGCGATGCCAGCCTCGGCTGAGCGTGGCGGTGGGCGCAGGGCCTGGGAGGGCGGTGCCGGTGTGCTGTGCGCTGCTGCCGCTGCCGATGAACCCAGAGCCCAGCCAATTAGCAAACGCCCTCTGGGGCGCCTGGCCCCAGGAGAGCAGCCGGCACTTTGCTTTGCTGTGTGGGGGTGGGGGTGGCTGCGCCTGTGACAATAGCCATGGCAGGCCACTCGGGGTGCAGGTGCCGGGGCTGCACGTGGGGCCACCCGCCTTCCCGGGGAGCCTCCCTGGGCCTCCTCACCCAGCTTCACCCTTGCTTTGGGGATTTGGGGTGTCTTCAGTCTTCTTGAGTTCCTTGTCTGGGCCATCTCCACAGGACAGGACTCCCCGCAGCGGGGGGGAACGCTCTACCTGTGCCGTCCAGCACGGGAGCCACCGGCCCTGTGTGGCCCCGAGCACGGGGAGTGACGCTGCTGTGACCAAACTGCATAATCAGACCCCAGGTGGCGGTTCCCGCGTGGAGAGCCACACGTGGCTGGATCATATCCAGGGCGTGTCGTGGGCTCCAGCAGCCGAGGGGCTTCCCAGGGGTCAAAAGGCGGCTTTGGGGGTCCCCGCCGAGCCAGTTCTTACCCGGGGACTTGAGGGGCTTTGCTCCGCAGCAGGCCTGCATCCTTGGCTGCGTGAACCAGGGGACAGGCACCATTTTCAAGGTTGTTCCCATGGAGGCCCCAGACGAGAGCGAGACCTGCCTGGCGGTCACCCAGCCCCTCCGCGCACTGGTTAAGGCCTGCTCAGGGAGAGATCTCTGGGAGCCCTGGTGGCGCTGCCTGTTGGGGCAGCCCAGGGACCCCAGCAGCGGCTGTGCCTCCGCCAGGTGGGCAAATGCAAGAGGGCAGGGCCTCCGCTGAGGGGTCTCACTGAGACCGGATCTATTTGCTCATCGTGGACTCCACATGTGGTGACAAAATGGGGATGACCCTCCCTCGTGCTGGCGGCTCCCCGGGCGGCGAGGAGCCAAGGACGGGAAGGTGCTGAGACAAAACCGGGCCTGAGCACATGGGCGCTGGCAACTGCACAGGGCCGGGGGCTGGTGTAGCACACAGGGACAGTCCCCACCAGGTCCCGCCCAGTCACCTGCTCCTGTCCTGCCCCGAAGATGGCCCAGGATGCTTTCGAGGCAGGAAAGGGACACTTCCGGGCGCTCAGCCCAAGGCCGGGCCTGAGGGGAGGGCAGGCACAGAGGGCCGGGGAGGGTGGGCCCTGAGGGTCCCCGAAGACTGGCATGGAGCCAGGCACCTGCTGGCAGGGTTCTGGAATCAGAGCTGCCCAGCACGGGCAGATGAGAGGACCCCAGTGACAGCACCTGGGAGGTGGTGGCAGTGGGCCAGCAGTGCGGGAGTCGAGCTGAGCACGGAAGCTCCGTCTTTGGCCTGGAGGCTGGAGGAGGCTGGGCAGCCCCGGCCCAGACCCCGAGCGTTGAGGTGGGGGCAGGCTGCTGCAGGGGCGGGAGGAGCAGAGGCCCTGGGAGGGAGGGCAGCGGAGGTGACGGGCAGCCCCTCTTCCCTCTGAGGTCAGCAGAAGAGCTGGGCCGGGAGAGCACAGCCGGGCACGGGTGGGGAGCAGGCGGCCAGGTTGGGTGTCCAGCCTGTCCCTGCGCCAGGGGCACTGCGCCCAGCAGCTCCGAGAACCCGACTGTTCTCCACCGTCCTGGGACGCCAGCTTGGAGGATCTGGGGTCTCTGTTGATGATGAGGGGTACCCAGAGCCGGGGAGGGGCTCGTGCCGGGGAGTCCCCAGAAAGACGGTGCTTACCTGGGTGGGCTGGGTGCCCGCCCATGGGGTCCCCACATGGGGTGCGTGGGGTGCTGTCGTGGGTGCCTCTGTTGGTCCCCATACCCTGCAGCTGCCCCTGGCAGGGACCCCACCCGCAGCTGCCACGGGCAGAGCCACAAAGGGTGCACCCACATTGAGCTGGCTGTGGCCCCTGGCCGTGGCAGGACAGGACAGACAGCGTGGCTGAGGGTGGGCCTAGATGCAGCCCCACCAGGAAGCCGGGCAGGTGGGTGCTCTGGACTAGGGCGCAGCCCCGGGGCTGGGTGGCTCCTTGCCAGTATAGACGTTCGGTGACCTTGGGAGCCGTCACTCCCAGCGCTGGAGAGGGAGGGAGCGCGAGTGCCGATTCAGCATTTCCGGGGGAGGGACGTGCTCCAGGCTGGGACTGCAGAGGCCCATGCGCTGCTCTCTCTCCCGTGGTCCTGTCTGGAAAGGGTCCCTCTCAGCCCTCCTCCCCCAGGAGCTCGGCCGCCGCCAGTGCCCCCAGCTGCAGGGAGCAGCGCCTGGCAGGCAGGGCTGCAGAGGCCACTCTGCGGGAAACCCCCGGCAGCCTGGCAGCCCCTGCCAGTTGCCAAGAGGCAGCGCCGCCGCCCACCAGCATCCTTGCCCAGGGGACAGTCCCCAGCAGCTGATTCAGCAGCTACAGGGCAGGCACCCCTCCCCCAGCCCAGCTGGGCAGGGTGCCCAGGCTTGCTGGCAGCTGTCACACGGGGCTCTGGCAGGGCTGCTGTGGCTCGAGGTGTGTGGCCCGCACTGCGCTTGGGGGCGGGGTGGCAGATTGCTGTGGCAGCGGCCGCCAGGCACCCCCTTCTTCAGGCCCGGCTCCCCGATGTGCAGCCTCCTGCTGAGGAGAGGCCTCTGGGAGGTGCCGGAGGAGCGTCAGTCCCCGGGAAGTGACCGCCTCCCAATCCGACTGCTAGTGGGCACACCCACCCGGCCACATCCAGGCTCCCAGAAGCCCAGGCCGGGGCAGAGGCCAGCAGGGGCCGCCCGTGGGAGCACCCTGGGCAGAGGAGAGGGAGGGCAGGGAACCTGGCCTGGCCCACGGGTTTGGGTTTGCTTCCAGCTGCGGGTGCTGGTGGCAGGCGGGGACGGTGGGTGCCACTGTCCTGGCCCAGGGCATGGGGCAGGAGGTGTCAGCTCTGTGTGGGACGCGTGTGCCCGTGATGCGCTGGCCGCGGTTTGGGGCAGACTCCCCCGTGTAGCGTGGGGAGAGGGGCCGGGCTGGGCAGGAGCCGGGGGCCAGATGGGGAGGGCCTGTGAGGGGTCTGGTTGGGACAGGACTGGAGCACTCAGCAGGCCCCAGGACGGGTGGGGTCTGTGGCCAGAGGGCGGGTGCCCTCCCCACCGTCCCGGCCCTGAAAAGTCCGCCACCCGCCCACTGAGGACAGTGTCATTCTGCTTTCTCAGGACGTGCGTGACTGGCCACGTGAACCGTCCACACAGAGATCAGTCCAGTCCATGCTGGCGACAGCGCCGGGAGGGGCCGAGGTGGGCAGCGGCCAGCACTGAGCGGGCACAGCTGGGGGAGTGGGGGGACCTTGAATCCCGAGCGGTCCAGCGGGTCCTGCCTCCCTTGGGGCAGGGTGGGCGGCGGCACGGGAGCCAGGGGCTGGGCCCGGGCATCTCCCAGAGAGGCCGGCTCGGGTTTTGTGGCGAGTGCCGTGTCCCCAGACCCAGGCACCAGTGGTGGTGACGTCCCTGTCCTCGAGGGTGCCTGCACCACGACCTGGTGTCAAGGCCCTGATGAGGACACAGCCCAGGCCGGGCCAGGCGTGGTCAGGTGTGCTGGGTGGTCGGCACCCTCACGCCCATCCCTGGCCCCGGCTCCCAGGGCAGGAGGCATTCCCACCCGCTCCTGGTGTGGGTTTCCCGTTGTCCCGGGCGGGGGCACACGGCCTTTGGGGGGGACCCGGGTGCTGTCCAGGCCCCCGGCTTTGCACACACCCCGGCCCGCTGCCCCCACTCGAGGAGCCCCTGCTGGGCCTGCTGGGCGTCTCGGATC